GATAGCTGAACCGAGGTCGAGCATTCGGGTCATGGCCGTGTCAGTCAACTGTCTCGGCTCATTACGAGCGTTACGCTACCGGAGGCATAACGGAGGAAAAAACTGTGAAAAGTGAAGAGGCTATATAGATGTTATCGGTGCATAAAGGTATCGAATGCCAATAGAAATTGGATGACAATTTCCGTGGAATAAATTTTTCTTTTCGTAGGAAAAATTCAAATCTCTTTTCGTTTGAAATTTTTATATGACGGCAATCACAAATATTATTCGACATTTTTAATCACGTTACAAACTCATTTTAATTCTGCTTTTTATTTCTGTCTGTAATTATAATGAAAAGAATATTTGGATTGACAATGGAAATACGAGATAGATCTATTGAAAAAAATTTTAAAGAAATGTAAGCAGTAGAAATTGCTTTAACTGCTAAAGCTGTATATAATAAAAGCGTCGCGCAGAAAAATAATTTTCTTATATCAAAGCAGAATGAGATTTGTCTCCTTTTACTTCAAAGCTCTTTAACAATGATAAGGAGGGCTATAAAATTATTTATTAAGAATATTAATCTTATCACGACGTAATTTGTTTTTTCTACCTACGTCTTTTCGTATAAAATCCACTCGCGAAAGAAGACGCGGTGTCGCCCTTGACTTTTTATCAAGCGTAACTCAGCACTCGAGAGATGCGATTCTTCAGACTTCGTCATGCCGTGAAAAAAGCTCGGTCTCTTTCGTGTCGCGGGACTCTGGCCGAAATGGGATTACCTTTGGACCGGTGGTCAGAACGCGGACGCTCTCGAGCGGTCTATCAGAGCCGCTCATGAAAGACAAGCAGGCAGTCCGCGAAGTGGCACATTAGTCACGGCCATAGTTCTTCCGCGTCACCCTTCTAACTCTTCCCCTCCCGCGCTCCGACGCGTTTTCTCTCATTTTCCTTTTCCGTTGGACAGCACAATGCCTCGCGGGGGATATCCCGTGTTTATAAAATAAATCCCCTCATTGTTGCGCAGCAAAGCATGCTCGAGAGAGGAGGACGGCTGAAGAGAGAAAGAGAGAGAGAGATGGAGATAATGAGAAAGAGAGTAGCTAGGCCGTAGCTCGATGCATAACGTTTCGGCTGACAGGGTAGAGAAAGAAGAAAATAAGGGATGAGTAGAGCAGCCGAGGGAGCGTGAGAGAGAGAGAGAGAGGGAGACGAAACTTTTGTGAGGACGTCAGCTGCCACAGCGTTGGATGAGGCGCGTAACGTCGGGAAAGGGCGGATTAGAATATTTCTGGGGCCTTGGCTAAATGTTATCTTCCGCCACTACCCTTATCCCTACGGTCAGACAACGACGTGTTCTGGAGTCGTGAAGAAGTACCCCGTTATACGGTTAATCTAACGCGCCTGCTCTTTCGACCTTTACCGGGGGCGATCGCACTGATTTCATTACATTTACAAGCTTGTGAACTCGACAAGGAGTACAGATTTCTTCGCCAGACACGATTCATTTTTGCGCTGAACATTACAGGGATGCAGGGATTTTGCATAAGGATCAAGTTTGATATCGATCAACTCTCTCCGATTCTTATTCTATTGAATTAAAATAAATTTCTAAGAAGTTATTATCTGAACAGACGTCATGAGTGTCATCGAATTTTCTAAAGTTTTGATTATCTTTGAATAATGAAATCGTTGCGCTTGAATTTCTCAGCGGAGATTTCTTACGTTGTTGGTATATGTATAAGTGAAACATTTGCGTCAAAAAAGAATTACGTAGACATTTGTATAGGAACGGCGCGTTTTTATCGCGGAAATAATTTCTAAAAGCAGCTTCTGCCGTCAAAGAGGAAAAAAGTCATTTATTTTATTTAAAAAGATAAAATAAATCAGCTTCTATATATATATAGAAAATGAATACAACTGATTGAAATCGTGGATTTAATTAATGCAGCTTTTTAGTGAGTCAGACGCTCTTTAGGAATTCAGAGTAGCAAAGTTTTGGGTACGTTGGTCTCTTCGAAGCTTTTAGCAGGATGAAGGTAAAGGTGGAAGTCGCCAAGAGGTCGTGGTACGTGCCGTAGCTCCCTGAGCTCATCAGTAACGATAGCGCACTGCCATAACTGTTCCCATAATAGAATTCGTTAATACGAGATGTCGTTCGAGACACCTCGTTTCTGTAATCTTACACGAGCAAGCTTCGCGTTCGATACTAGACGATTCAAAGCGAAGCGCGGTGAAAAAAAAGAAATACAAAAGAATGTGCAATTTCCCTTTGCAATTCTCGTGGAGATTTTACAAACGGATACTATAAGTGTAAACAAATGCTATTAGCGACGAAACTTTTCTTCTCCTTTACTACTTGAAAAAAGAATATTTTTGCACGTCATTTACTTAATCTCTGTGTATTAACAATACATATGTATGCATATGTGTGTGTCTGGGTATGCGCGAGGGAAAGAGTGATTTTCCCGAGCAAATAGTCGCGTGAGTGTTTTTACATGTCACGCGAATTATTTAATAACTGTACATATTTACCGGTACTCGCGCGCTATCGTTGAAAAATGCTTTTCTTTCTTTCTTTTTTTTTTTTTTTTTTATTAAAAGTAGTTTCGCGCCGTTATAAATCGAGAGATTCATTTCGCGATGCACATGCGAACAAAGAATTTCGATAAACGTGCACGATTCCGCGTCAACGGGTTTCGCCTTTGTGCCACGATATATAATAATAGACGAAGATGAATCGCGATAGTTTATGATTTTACGTCCGGTGCAGATGTCAATGCGCATTACTACATCGGCACGCGCTTACTGCCAATCATGGATGACAGGTTATCGCCACGGTTGATACACAAATGCCGAAGCTTAGGGTGAATCTGGTGGCGCGCACACCCGTGCGATTCGCAACTGCAGATAGGTGTAGGCGGCGAAACTCATGCGACGTGTTCGGAACTACTGGTGCCATAGTGCGCGAGTGGTCAGCCGGAGATTACCGCGGCATAATTACCCCTGCACTGCTATACCTACCTCTGTTTAATCTGCAATTAATGTTTCAAATTGCCATAAACTCCGCCCATAGTAACGGATGTCACTTATCAACGATGATAACCGACTGCACTATGTCAGCGATACAACGTGGACTTTCATCGTAGCGTGCAATTGTGTTTTCGCGTAGAAACGATCGTATTCCGTGCAAACCGCGCTCGCATAATTTTACCAGATACCCTATCATCGTACGATTCTTATCTTTATATATTATTTGCATGTTTATGTTGAATAAGATTTTTTTCAAGTTGAAAAGAAAAAGATATTTTGATGAAAGACTCAAAGAAAATGATATATCGTAAGTCTCGCTTATATGTCAATGTGTAGAGAATATACACTGAAAAAATATTTGTGTAAAATTACGTGATTATGCTGGATTTTTTCCACTCACAGCATAATCATGCAACATTGCTACTCATATGAAAGATTACAGAATATGTGTAATTTTATATGAAATATATTTTTATATATATTTTCAAGATTAAAAATATTCCACTGAACATGGAATTACACATAGAAAATGCTAGTAATGTATAAATGCTATAAAATAATGTCATTGATAAAATGGATAATTGCTTATAAAATAAAGTTCTAATAAAGTGAAAATATTAAATATAAAATTACAAATGATTTTTATATAAAAATAATAATTTTATCTATATTTTACATACATTTTTACATTTATATATATTTACACTTTAATAAATATGGAAAGAAATTACAGTGATAATTAATTTTTCCAGTTTTGAACAAGTAATTCCCATGTAAAAGTATATTTTTTCAGAGTATGTGTATAAATAAAATACATATATATAGTTTGTGATTTTTTTCAATTGGTTGAATTCGATTAGATCTTTCAATATTGTATATCAACAGTCGCGGCAAAATCACACAAAAATTTTTCGATTGATACGATCAATGCGTGCCTTGAAAGGAATCCAAATGGTATACATATTTTCTCGGCTTCGAGAGATCGCGATGAGATCGTAGCTCAATTCGTGGTTATTATTCGTTTGCACGGAAACTGGTAGGGTCGAAGACATTCAAAATGGCTTCCCCTCTACTCTATAGAGGCGTGCGACGCTGGGTTCGGTATGTTATTTCAGCAAACTATCTACTTAGATACTTTTATATTCAATACATCCGCGAACGGCGGCTGGCAGGGGCGTCTAGTAATCCCCTAGGACACACAGGAGACCCATCTTGGGAACGGCGGAACCCGACATAATGTCGGCTTCTATCGAAGGGTTACTGCCGTCTCCGAGGGACGCATAACGTATCGTGCTTATTTTTCAGATAGGCTTAAAAGTGTAGAATTCCACTAATGTAACAAATAATGTACGGCGAATTTTATAATAGTTGATAAAATTAATATTCCGGATAGTGAGGAAGAACATTTTTATATCAATAATATTATATTTTGTTAAAGAAATTTAATGGTAAAAATCGATTAATAATTGTTAAACTCAGATTGACGAGGAAAATAATACAAAAAATAAGACTCAAAAGTTTCAGCATCTTATAATTTTTTATTCTGTAATTAGAGAGTAAAAATATGATGTAATCTTATATAAACTATTTTATTTTTATGTCGTCTTCGAGGGACGCATAGTATCGTGATTATTTTTCAGATAAGCTTAAAAGCGTAGTATTCCGCTAATGTAACAAATAATGTACGGCGAATTTTATAACAGTTGATAAAATTAATATTCCGGCTAGTAAAAATATGTTTATATTTTTGTTAAAAAAATCTAATGGTAAAAAATCTATTAATAATTGTCAAATTGAGATTGACGAAGGAAATAATACAAAAGAAAAGACTCTCAAAAGTTTCAGTGTCTTCCAATTTTTTATTCTGTAATTAGAGAGTAAAAATATGATGTGATCTTATATTAAAAAATATTTTATTTTAGTTGTGTGCAACTCTCCTCAATATTACATTTTATCAATAATAAATAAAATATAAATGTTTCAAGGCTAACATCATGTACACAACTTGAAGAAATAAGAAGTTCGTATTTTGCTCTCTTGTGCAACATGATACATCGTCCTATTAATGAGGTACGTATTTACAGATACTTTTATACTCTGTACGCTCGTGAATGGTGCTTGTAAAGGATGTCTGGTGATCCCTCAGGACACACGAGAGAGCCATCTTAGAAGCGAGCGAACTCACCATAATATCGAGCTTTATCGAAGGGTTAGTACAGTCCGTAAGAGAGTATCACCCCTATTTTTCAACCAACTACGACTGACATGTCGATCCCCATCGACGCATTCGTCGTCATATACACGAAGATGAAGCTAAGGGGGCTGGTAAGTAATACAGATCGACAGTGAATCTATTATTGATGGGTTTTATTGCGACGCAATAAAGCCCGAATCTTGGCACGGATCAATGAGCGCGAAATTATGATTTAAGTTTAATAGAGTTCTTTTCATACATACGATTCTATGAATCAACAATAAATGCGATCGCGAATAATGATTTAAAGAGAAAAAAAAGGATGATCATTATAAAATGTACAAATAAGCTATCAAACATTATTTGGAAATAGCTTCTAAATATTCGTATATTATTCTCTTATACATTTTTTCTACCTCTATTAAATTATTAATTTCTTTATGTTATTAATATCACAAACACGTTATTTGTTTTATGTTACGTATAAGAGGCGTATAACTTTTACTTAAAAATTTTGTAATTTAAAATAGAATTAATACGGTAAGATAAGTTTTAATTCCTTAATCTATATGACTATATATATGTATATATTATACTGATAAAATTCTGCGCCGGTCGAACAACCTGTTCCGGTCATTAGCCAACGATACGTTAGGATATTCAGTTTTCGCAAGCTTAATTAATGCACTTTGCACCAATCCAGTCGTCGAATATTAACTATATCTTGATAATAATTTATTCACTGACGTTCGCGCGACACTTTACTTCCCTCGGGTGCCGGGATTCGTATTTCATTTTCGCTCATTCGTCACAGTATGCTTATTTATATTCGCTGAAAAAGTGACATTTTAATGGGCTCTGCTACTCGGATAATTTAATATCGGAAAAATATTATACTTTCTACGCTTAGTCGCGTCTTTGTCGATTGCATTACATTTTATCTGATAATATTAACTAATATTACATTTTCTTTTGCGATAATATCTCGTTGCTGTTCGTTCGTGAAAAGCAGTTTGTATTAAAACAGACACTTTTGCAAACAAATGCTGCCGCAACAGATGTTGTTTCATGTTGTTATTCGTCGGAAATTTAATAATTCTCAATTACGTTAAAAATTAGAAATATTATATTTTAGAGTACAAGAGGAATGCACGCGCATAGCATATTTTAGCAAAATATTTTTATTAATATTCCCGCGTTCAAAATTTTCTCGAACTTTAATGAACCAAATACCGCAAAAATTACCAATCTCGCTTCATTTCCGACTGCTTACAACTGTGCTTTTAAACCCTTTCTCTATAGTTTGCTTCCACAAGAATTTCCGTCGACAGTTCGCGGCATTCCTCATTAGCTTCGCAACGTGGGGGAGCTTCCGAGCTGCAAACATATTACTTCCGGCAAAAAAGGGCTTGAACATACTTCACACCGCTGTGTCGACAAACGCGGGCCGGTCTGGAAGCTCGTTAAGTAATTGCTAAGTGACCAAAGCTTGGAAGGTCACTGAGGTAATGCGAGAATCGTGTAGGTACCTCGATACGCGGCGCGACAAGGGTAGTCGAGTGAGAATAGAGCGATAGAGGGAGGGTGGTAGAGGAAGTCTGCTTCATGAAAGGGGGTGAGACCGTAGGCTTACAATATATATACATGACGATGCCAACATTGCGGCTCCTTCACTCGGACGTACGTATTGTACGCGTGCAACGCGCGTATTAATGCGTTGCCGGCATATAAGGGTTGAAGATCCCCACCTCCACTTCCATTTCCTTTCGATGGAGGTAAAGGGATATTTGATGCCAGTAGCTATAGCCGAATATGTGCCGGCAAGGCGATGCAATAGTGTTAGAATAAAATAACTTGTCCTTACAAAGTATTCAACAAAGCGTTCAATGCATTATAAAATTGGATAAACGTGAAATAATATACATATATGTTAAACTGTTTTATATAATAATTTTATTGTTATAATTAATATCAAAGTGTTTGTTTAAATTATAACATATAATTATAATGTTGTTTGCATATGAATATTGTATACAAATGCATAGCTATATATAATACATCATATTAATTTCTGTATAATAATATTAATAATAATAATATTGTTTGCGCAGTTTTGTTTATATACTGTTTGTGTGGATGGACGATAAACATTGGAATAAGATGTTTATATACATTGCATATTTTAATTAATTGAATTTAAATAGATTAGTATATTATCGAGTTCTTTTTTTAAATGCAATCGCGCGTTTAAATTTTACTTCCCTTGTTAGTATTAAAGCATATGATTGTTATAATTAACAATTAATTAATTTTCCTGTGAAAGATTTTATTTTAAAAAATAGTCTTTTCAGAATTTATAAAATTATTCTATTATATATGTACTTATTATTACGCATATAAAATTAAATGCGCGTGCAATAATAATTTTCTGCAATATTAATTATTTTGGACACTGTTACAATTTGGATTTTATTTGTATGTTACAGATTAACGTAACTCTGAGAGGAGGAGGAGGTCTAGGAGAGGCATCAGGCGTCAGCCAATTTTGGAATGGGTAATTTAATATTTATATATTAGTTGCATATTAATCATACGCGCGAGACTTGAATTACACGATTAATCGCGTAATTTGGTTTATTTATTTAAATCATTTAAATGAGAGAGAATGAAAGAAAAAGCTTTTGATAAAATAAAACTTATGATTCTGTAAACATTTTTATTGAAGAAACATTTTAATCTTTGTAAAATATTAGTTTATTATTGTACACATCAAATAATAAAATTCAATGCGTACGATAATTTTTAAAATATTAAATTTGAATAATTATTTAAAATATAAATAATAATTTCGGGCGTTGTTATGGATTTTATATAATTTATTTTTATTGTGTTACAGATCGAGATATAACTTCAAAGAATCAACTTGGCTGTTGGGGTTGGGCATCGATCGGTGAGTGACAAATTTTATTTTATATTTTAAAATAACGGATCTATAATAGTATCTCTGATGTCTAAATATAATGTTAAAATGTAGTTTGTAATATAAAATATTAAATATGTATAATAAAGATATTGTAGACAAATATATGATTTATCACGCAGATCCGTTGTTTTAAATGTCCAGATATACTGTTTAATCTACAATAATGCACTGTATGTCTCTGTCCCAGAAAATATCCAAATTTATATTTCCTTTTTCATACATTTTTCTTTATATTTCGCAATATGCCGACAGTTATATAGGTTGAATAAATCCGAGATATAAAGCAAAGGCCCCTATAGAGATAAGAATAAACCATATTATTCAATCAAATATAATAAAATCTTATCACGTAACAATAATTTATATTCAAAGAGAAAAATATACTATACACATTTTGAATTTACATTTCTTCAACATAACTATGATAAATATTTTAAAAAGGAAGAAGATATATAGGGTACGTATATATATATATATATACATCAAATATGTATAAGAGAAATATACATACCTATATATATACATATATATTATATATATACTTTTCCAGAAGTTTTCACCATTATTAATGTTTCTGATCACGTTCTGAAACGCGTACTACCTTAATATCTTCCAGTAACAAGTAACCGGTGAAAATTCGCTTTCCTCTACCTCCTCCAATGTGTAGAATCACTGGCCAGTCGTGACCGCGCAAAAAACATTTGCACGAGAGTGCATCGATCGGGGTTGCGGCCTGTATCGATGTGTGTTGTACGTACGACCGATGCAAACGATAGAATAATACGTTATGGCCGACCAGGCGTGCCGTAAGAACGGCCGCGTCATTCCGTCGTAATTATCGGCGATTACGCGACGCGCGAGCACGCGAGAGTTACAAACGAGCGTCCTGGAACAGGACCGATCGCGCCAACCCCTCTGTTCAAATCCTCTCGCTCGTTTTACGCGTTCCCGCTCGTGTAGAACCGTCGAAATAATCCACCGTCACCGACTCGTCGTCTTTCATCCCCCAGCACTCGATAGCTTCATCGGCGGAGTGCTATGTCGAGAGGATCTCGCGTCAACGCGACGGCGAAAGTTCTGGTCCTCCGTGAAGGGAGAGCTTTTCCCTCCGAAGGGAGAGAAACGACCGGATGCATTATGCAGCGGCTGTTTGAAGTTCCGCCTTATCCGTCCTTTCTCATCGCGCCGTTTAGCTTTATACTCTCTTTCTCTTCCTTCGTTTTTACGCACTCTTTCGGTGCGAACGATGCGACTATATTGCCGACGAAATGCCATTCGCGCGTATATCATCGTCGCAAAGATCTCGAGAGGCGGATATTTCGCGAGATACAAAGGAAAACGTTTCACGACGAAGTGGATTGATTATTCGGTTTCGCGGAACCAGGAGAGAGGGAGGATTAACGGCGATTGTGTTAGCCTGCGCGAACAATGCCCGGCCGCTCATTTGCGCTTCTGCCTCGATGAAAGGGATGGAAATCGCATTACTTTAATCATCGCTGAGATAATAAAAAAATTGCGACTATTGTTTTATTACACTCCTCGCTTTCTGCCACTTTCTGCCACTTCGACTCTTTCCTTCGGGTTTCTTTGCGGCGTGTTTTGCCTCCCCGTTTGCCCTCGTGTGGTTATAATTGTCGTTTAAGATGAATTTTATATTCTAGCTCGGAAAAGGTTTCGTAATTTGACTCTCGATACATCTCTCGAAAAAAATATTTAAACATTTTTTTTGCTATTGCTGTATTAAAGTGTCGTGCATGATTTAATAATGATTACAATCTCTTAGACTCTTGTAAGTTAATAGACGTTTAAAATGGAAAAGATTTGATTTATAATTCGGTTGTTGCGATGTGTTAGATAAGGAAACATAACATGGCATGCTTACTTAAAATTTCTACTTTGCGAATCGTTAAAATATTGATCATAAAGTACACCAAGTCACGGTGAAATAAAGTTGTTCGTGCACATTATTTTTACAAATATGAATAACGTCGACATGTTAGCTGAATGTTGAAGTTTCTTAATCAGTACGTCGCGTGCTTGTCACTTTTCATCTGTGTCACCAAATGTCACGTGTAGAATGACAAATTAAAAGCAATGGAATTAATTCGATGTCCGGTAGAAATTATGACACGCTACTAGATGATAAGCTGAGCTTTCGGTAGCGAGAGAGTCACGATATACTTCCTTATCATTAATATTAAATCTGCGATGCATGGAACGCATAACCCCGTTTGCTACGAAATTTTTACATTTTGGCTTTGAAAAATAATTTCTTCGTAATATTACTTTTGGCGCATATTAATGTGCAGTTTCTGTTATTATTTCATTTAAGAGTTTAATGAATATTGCTGGACGGAACATAAACTGTCACGCGTAATATTGAATTATCATGATTATATCGCGTGATATCATCGTGATAATGCATGATGAATATCCTGGAAAAGTGGGCGCGCGAGAATATAATCGATTCGACATGTTCGACTTTCGGGTGCCACGGCGGAGAATTAAATTCTTCCTACGAAAGAAATTGTGCGAATGGAATCCAAAAATGTTGCAACATCCTCTCGTCCAGAGACCATAAGACGACGGCGATATCATTAATCACGTGCCGAAGGAAGGTACGGTGAAAGGTCGTGTACATGCGTGAGATTACGAAACGCGATCCCGGGGACCCCGTGTTGAGAAAGAATCACACGAGATAGTCCACCAACACGCGGACACGGTAGACACGTGATGTAGATCCGTGACACGACGATAATTTATCCGTGCCAGTCTAGGGAAGGAGCGCTACACAAACTTCATATAACTCACGAAATACGAAAATGTTTCCTTTCACATCCGATACATACATAACTCCGACAACGCAGACGCGGTGTTTCGCTGTCCCACGCGATTCTCTCTTAACATCAGGTTCTTTACACACGCGCAAGTTGGTTGTGCACACGTATATCGTCAGAGTTGACTTTGTCGCAGCTTACGTAATGCCAAAAAAAAAAAAAAACTGTGCAGTCATAATTTTTATTCGTACAAGTTATTAGAAGCGAAATGATTGTAAAACGCGGGATTTGATGCGCGCGAAATAATACGCGAGCGATAAAACAGTGAAATCGTCGTGCGTCTACGGAGAGAGGAAATACGTTGATCACAAGCATACTTTTCTCCCGACTCGCGAGCATGACGACATTGTGCCGGGCGGTTGCGCTTTACGATGCATACGCCGTAATTACGGCGATAATTTAAGAGAGACAGAAGGGGCGTAGGAATTCTCTCGGGAATCGTAATACCTGACATTACTTTGGGACTAAAAGGGACAAGGGTTTTCCCCGGCCGTTATTCTGGGCCTCGGTATGAAATGTTTAGCATATTAACCAACGACCCTGAAAATATTTGTTTGTTACTAGCGAAAGACTTAAAAAGCCGTGATTACGAGCCCTCGAAGGAGGATAGACGTCACGCAAGAGATTTGCCACTGTAAATGTATTTTGTCCAAGACCTTTTTCTGCATTGTATACTGGGATGATAATTGTAGTCTTATTTCGAAAAATATATATTATTATTTAAATAATGTCTATATATGTTTGTACAAAATTATACAAAGGCGGTATAAATTTTATGAAAAAGATAATTAAATTAGTGTCATTATGCTCGTAATGAAAGTAAATGATTTCGTAACGTGTTTTCTTCTTACTTTATGGAAATACATTTTTTCCGAATAAACTGCGGTGTTAATCAAGCGCGGTGCTTGTAAGTGGTAACACGTGACTCTTTAATGCGATGATCAGGCAATATCGCTTAAGCCGTTATAGCATGGTCGTAATTAATGGATGCGAACGAAGGGACAATTTCGAAATGGCTCTCGGCAACCGTGTGCAATTGCGTCGAGCGAGAAACCATGGTTCGATTAATATCTAAAAAAAGAGCTAGGTGATTTATGACAACATACTAGATATAAAAATTACCAGGAAAGAGTGAAAATAATAGAACTGATAGAATAATTGTACGTTACATTACAAAGATTTGCATAGCAATTAATGTATGTGCAATTAAAAATAGAGGGAGAGATATCGTCCCGGTTGTATGATTTTTATTTAAATGTATCGTTTTAATATATTCCAGATAAAATATTCCACGTATAATAATATAGATTATTCTACGTTATACATATATCACGTACAATCTTTTTTCGCTCGAGTGAATACACTCGTGCGTCACTATTTTAAAAACACAAACGCGCGTCAGGGATCACGAGCGAAAGATACAGAGAACGAAAGAGAAATGGTGATGACGATCAAGCGCGCGTGCATGGTTTGGGGGCGGAAAATGGGGCGGGAAAGAGAGAGAGAGAGAAAGAGTCGCGTGTCTCGCGTGTCACCATTCGATTTGGCACCGCGGTAGTGTCGGTCGGCAGCTGGGCTTTGTCCATTTGTAATTCCCTGTATGGAGTACGCGACGTATGCACGTGGCTATATTGCATCGGACACGGGAATGCAACACGCACCATTTCGAATTACACGATGGTGTAGATGGAAAAAGAAGCGGGGCGCTGTGCCAGAGTTGTCGAAACGTTGATGCGTTTTCTACCCCTCGATGTCCCCTTTGCGCAGAGAAGGGTGGCCCGTTGAAAATTCAAGCACCTCGTACCGCGGTTATTCGCTAACGGACAATATTCCGAGGGTCGCGGAGAATGGAATTTTCATCTAACATAACGCCTCATAAACTTGCCGGCTCCATTTTCCGCCTTTTCATGCACAGAACTACGATCGTAGCCTCGCCGTCAAAGGAACATCCATCTATGAAAGGCGTGTCTGAGGAGAAGTAATCGCGCATTAAATCGGGAGTACTGGAATTCAAGTGTTATGACTTCCACGATTGTGCCAAGATTTTCATTGAATTATATCAGTGGCTTAATCATTTTCAAACTTTGTTTCAATCAAATGATATTTTTCGTTTGAAAGATTTATACAGAG